CCCAGACAGGAGTCACTCCCTGGATATGTGCAATGAACTCTTCAGAGTAAAAGTGCTTCCGAGTACAGTGCTTTGTAGTGGCTTTACATGAGACTGTACTATTATACTGTAGGAAAAACAGCTGAAAAAAATCCCCGAGCCTCCCACTGGTGCCGGGCAGGACCTAGCAGATCTGGGGTTCCCTGGCAACATGAAGAGGACCAGCAGAAACCCTTGGCAGGACAGAGGAGTGATGGATACCCACAGCGGCGTGGGGGAGTGACAGAGACCCCTCCATGGAGCAACGGAAACCCCCAGCGGAGCAATGGACACCCCCTAGCATCATGGAGGAGCAGTGGAGACCCCCCAGCAGCACGGAGCATCGGAGACCCCCAGCGGCACGGAGGAGTGGCAGAGACCCCCGGTGGAGGGACGGACACCCCCCGATGATGACTGCGAAGCTCAAGCTGAGCTGGGCCTCCTTACAAAAGTTAAAATACAAAATATGGATGACAACTGCATAGTGCAAAAGGATGCGAGTTTGCAGCTGGACCTTCTGAAAAGAAATAATGAGGCATCACTTCCAGCCTATCTTACTATATTTTCGAAGATTTTAAGCAGGCTCCTATGTGTCTGGTATGTGACAGCCAGAGGGGAGCCTGGAGGTGGGGGTGTTGTGGGCTGTTTGGGGCTCCCTGCCCTGCTGCCCGTCCCCGGGGTGTCTGCAGCCCAGCAGGCAGGACCTGGTGCTGGAGACAGCGCTGCGCCACAACCCCATCCACTGATGCTGCGTCCCGATTTGGGGTCGTGACCCGCAGTTTGGGAACCGCTGGATTAGATCCCTGTTGGCTCCATGGGGCATCCCAGGTCAAGCTGTGCCCATTGCGTTTCCCAGCCCCTCGGGTTTCATGGGGACCAACCACAGACAGTGTGTGTGGGAGACAGTCCCTTGCTCACCGTTCCTGTGGGAACAGAGATTTGGATACGCAGCAGTGGTTGGAGTTGGGCAAATGACGTTGGATGAAACAGCTTGACAAAAAAAATGTGGATTTGTGAAAATCAAAGCACTTTTGTGCGATCAAAGCACTTGTCTGGGATGATGTAGTCAGGGCTGGTCCTGCTTGGAGCAGGGGGTTGGACTATATGTGACCTCCTGAGGTCCCTTCCACCCTCATTTTCTACGATTCTGTGATCCACCCACTCTAATGAAATGTTTGGCAAGAAAAAGTGAAAACGTTGAATTTTGATACATTTCATTCATTCTTTTATATTATGCACTTTTATGTATGAAAAATATTGGTCTCTGTCTGGGCAAGTCTCTAGGCAGAGATGTGCAGGAGAGTCCCCAGGTGCCACAGAGTCATGGTGTGGGGTGGGCCAAGAAGCATTTCCATCTCTAATCCCAGGCCAAAACAGTTCCTTATTCAAGCCGTTATACTTAGTACAGTCTTCCTTATTTGAGCGGTTGTACTTAGTACAGTGGGCATGGGGGCTGTTAGTTGGCAGCCTGGCACGGCCAAACCGTGCTTTGGGCCGGGCAGGGCTATAGTCCTGGTTCTCTGGGACAGTCCCCCAAGTGGCGTTGACAGGAAATTTGGGGTGGCCCAAGAAGTATTTTGCCCCATAATCCCATCCTAATCTGACCTTCCTTTAGAGCTCTGTACTTGATACGGGATATTATTTTACATATTAATTAGGACATATGCGTAGCTAATGAAATACTCTCTGTTTAAGATGTGCAATTCATTAATAACAAGTTTTTATTGGGTATAGATTAACTTTGAAAAAGGAATCAGGAACCGGGAATAAGAAATAAGGAACTGGGAATAAGGAACCGTCTTCTGTCTCATCTCTTTGCAAGTAGTATAAACACAGAGAACAAATTTACTGCAGAACCAAAGGCAAAGAAGACAAAGGAAACACTAAATACAGTTTAAAACACTACCAGCTACAAGGCAAAGTTCACAGATTGCACCCTCTTGGGGTGGCTTCACCCATGTCCAGGCAGTCTGGGGCTTGGGGCTCACCCCAAAGGCAGTTACAGGGGACTGCACCCCGATACCTGCCCTTCAGCAATAAACTGCAGACGGGGCTTCACTGGGGAGTCTTTCGAGCTGCTCCTTGGGTTCGCTGGGCCGTGGGAAGCTGCTAAAGTGCATGGATTTCCAGCCATAATCCCAGCCCAAAAGCCAATTCCTTATTCAAACCCATATAGTTAGTACAGTGTCTGGGGGCTGTCAGATTAACTCTGGCTCTAGACAGCATAAATTCCCAGCCCCCATCCCAGCTCTGCTGGACAGACATTGCAAAAAGAAACGTCGCAGGAGAGGCCAGGCCCGTCTCGCTGGGCCTGAACTAGGCAGCAAATGCCGGCCAGGCCTACACTGCTCTGAGGCCTAAACCTAGAGCTGGGGTTCAGCCATGGGGTGGTGATGGCGAGAGGACTGCCTTGCTGTACTGACATCCTTTGCACGTGCCTCCAAACACCCTTGAGGGGGGCTCACCACTAGGGAGCTCTGCCAAGGATGAAGTGAGATGGGCAAGGAAGAGGCTGGGCATGCTGGACCAGCGAGAGAGCTGAGTTCTGGTCCTGGGTCTGCCACCG